GGGTTTCTACACATATACAGGGGTTTCATAAGGGTATCGATTTGAGATTTGGGCTTTGGTTTCGGTGTCAGGTGCCGGACTGAGGTGTTGGGAGTTTGAGGCTTCGGGGTACTTGGAGGGTCATGGGGACTTAGTAAGTAGGTTAATGATTAGGATAACTAGGGTTATTATTGAAGTTATAGGGATTCTTAACACACGTACTAAGTCCCCCTGACCTTGCAAGTAGAACCCTTAATCCTTAACCCTTTGTCAACCGTAGCCTCTACATCACCTTCAGTTGAGTTCCATGCTAGCTTGGGCCAGCTTGGCGAGCGTAGGTAGCTGCGAAAGGGTCAAAGTAGCCCTTAGCCCACGGGGCACTGACTGACTGCGGTTTAAGGATTAGGGTTTAGGTCTTTACGCTTTTGGGCTTAGGATTTAGGGTTTAGGGTTTCTTGTTTAAGTCCTTGAGGCCTTGATTTCGCTCGAGCTCTCTATACCCTAGAAACCCTGAATCCAGCCTTCCAAAATGAAAGCCTTGCTGACATAAGTTACGCTCAAGAGCCCGAAGCTTCCACGCTAGTCTTTCGGTAAGGTTGAGGACGATTGTCCCCAATCATGGAGAATAAAATGGAACAGAAAATGGACATGAAATGGAGACTATCCCCTTTACTAACCCCTAGAGCAAATCCCCTATAAAATCCCCTATGTAACCACTTTTAGGGAGTTTAGACTACAGTTCATGAGGGTGGTTGTCAAAATTATGGGACTTTTTGGATCCCTATCATAATACGGCACCGAATATTTAGGGTACCCAAAAAAGGGACCGTAATTTTGACAACCACCCATATACCCCCAACCCTAAACCCTAAACCCACCCATATACACCCTAAACCCTAAACCCTAAAACCACCCATATACCCCCTAAGCCCTAAACCCTAATCCGTAGGTGTAATGCACTCCTTCAGCGAAACCTAAACATAACCACCCAGCCACCAGACTTGGGCCTTGAGCGCCAAAACCTGCAAACCCTAAGCCCAAAATCCCTCTTAGGGTTTAGGGTTTAGGATTCAGGGTTTAGGGTTCAGGGTTTAGGGTTCAGGGTTTGCCTTATCTGGGTTCTTGTTGAAATACCATTAAAGAAGGATCATTTTTTATTGATATTGGGCCCAGGTGCCCATAAAAATATAAAATGTTGTTCTACAAGAGCCCCGTTATAGCCCCCTTACAGCCTTGGGGTTTCGGATTTAGGGTTTAGGGTTTAGGGTGTTGTATTTAAGGTTTGGGGTTTAGGGTTGAGCAAATGAATTCTGGAATTCTCCGAGAACCATGATAAGATCCCCATATTCCCCACATGCTTTCTACTTCAGGGGGACTGTCACTAGGTTGTGGATTTCAGAGACCAAAAACTTTCAGACCCCAGATCCGAAACCTCCCAAAAACTGAGGGCGCATCCCTGACCCGTGAACCCCAGTGACCTGACGTAGAAACTTTAGGGTTTAGGGTTTAGGGTTTAGGGTTTAGGGTAGAAATCCTAAAGCCCAAGCCCTAAAACCCCTGGACCTTAAACGAAACCCTAAACCCTAGACCCTAAACCCTCAACCCTAGAAACCAAAAACCCCCGAAACCCCCTAGAAACTCCCTGGACCACTGCGGCCTCTGGTCGGGCTCCGCGGAAAATCCTTGCACCAGATGCTTCACATGCGCAGGGTCGATGCCCAGGCGCAAGAGCACGTCCTGGAGAGCTTGGGATGTAGGGTTTAGGGTTTAGGGCTTAAGGCTTAAGGTGTAGGATTTAAGGTTTAGTAAAAACTAAACCCTACATACCCCATGGCGTAAGCCCTAGAAACTCTGAACCGTGGAAACCCTAAAGCCTCCCCACACCCGTAAAAACTGCGCAAGCCTAAAGCTCTTGGGTTCTTGAGTCTGCTTAACTGGAAATCTCAAGAACCTTTCTTAGGGTTCAGGGTTTAGGGTTAAGGGTAGGTTCCCCTACTCACCCCGCCTCCGCCTCTGCACTGCTCCCCCGTGTTCCCCAGTACATAGGGTCATTCAAAGCTTATTCTTAGCCCACAATTCCCCGGGAAGAAAAAGTAGCCTTCTTACATAAGTATAAGGAATACCATACACCAAAAAACAGGATCCCTAATATTGATCCAGAGTTAATATAGGGGATGCAGTACAGGAACCCAGGAACTTGTCGGGGTTCAATGCAGAACCTTGGGCTCCAGGATTGTCTATCGTCACGATAAACATACGTATTTCTTCGAGAAGGAATGGGCAGGGATTGAGGTATACACTCCCCGAAAGTTATCTTGAATCCCTAAACCCTAAACCCTAAACCCTAAGCTCTATAAAGCATGAGGTCCTTCTAAAGAGCGCCCACGAGGTTCCGCGCTAGTTTGGGGAGACTAGACCCTAAGAACTCCATCACGAAACTGCCAACCCAAATCCCGCAACCCGAAGCCCCAAGAATATCGATACCAAAACGAACTGTCTTCCCTCAATCCCCAACCCCTGACCTCCTCAGTTGGGGTTTAGGGTTTAGGGTTTCCATCGACCCCCACCGAATAGGACAGATCACCCTAAGAAAGGAACCTAAGAGAGTCTGTCCTGTTTGGGGCTCCCTTTCAACCCTTGATCCACCCGGACTCCTCAACGTTAAGCTCTAAGCCCAAAATCCTACACTCCTAAATCCAGAATCCTAAACCTTAAACCCTAAACCCCGAATCCTAAACCCTAAATCCTAAACCCAAAACCCTAAACCCTAAACCCTACAGACTCCTAAACCCTAAGCCCGCTCCTGCAGCTGCGCCCCGGTAAGGCCGCCGCCCGCACCCAGCTCACGCTGGAAGGAGCTAAGGACTTCGTCCATGGCTTGCTACGATGGGATTTGGGGGTTTCCCAAAATTATGGGTACCTTTTTGGGGGTCCCCATAGTAAGGATTATAATATATTGGGGTCTATATTGGGGAATCTAGATGGTAGGGTTTAAGGGGGGATAATGGAAAAGAAAATGGAAACTATAGGAATTATAGGGATTATATAGGGCTTATATAGGGATTATAGGGGATATATTAAGGTTATATTGGGATAATGGAAAACAAAATGGAAACTACTATAATGGGTTATATAGGGTATTTGGGAGATACTATGGCACCCAATAATAGATTTCTATAAGGATAACCCAAAAATAGACTGGAAGCTACTATTAGGGTTCAGGGTTTAGGGCTTATGGTTGGGATAAGGGCTTAGGGTTTAGGATTTGGACTACATTATTTGGGAGGCCTCTCAAGGTTTTTCATGTTTGTTGAACTTCTAGGGCCCTCCAATTCATCTTCTGCGCCAGCTACGACTACTACTCCTCAACTTCCACCTCCTCCATGCCGTGCTGGGCAGCACGCAACCAATGATTTCCAATTGGCTTACAGCACCATGCCCACCCCCAACCGCACTCGCCCCTCCCGCTATGCTTTACAGAAAACAGATACTCGAAAGCCGATTACCTTCCAGAGAAGTGAGGTCTGCCATGTTCTGGGCAAGCTTTCAATACGCGTCAGTTCAGGAACATGGGTAGTAGTGGGGCGCCTGCTACTCCCTCTATTACTGCTGCCCCTGCTGCCCTTCCTCTGCCTGCTGCTGCTCCCACTGCGACCATGACTGCTCAACGGACGGTACTTTTTGTCGCTTGCCATGACTTTGCCATAGCGTGCTTGGGTCTTGTAGCGCGGATTCCCGGGGCAGGTTTTCACGCTGCTGGCACAACTCCAGTTCGAGTTGCTCGGGAAGGCGGACTCACAAACATTCGAGAAGAAGCCACAGAAAATCTCGCTGTCAGGAGCCCTACACCCTCAAAAGCCTCAACACTACCCTAAACCTTGGTCCCAGCGCTCTACGGCTGACCACTGAAATTGGATCTAAGACTCCCATTCACGAGAACCGTTGGGTCCTGGGACTCAAACCTGCGGCGGTTGAAAACTTGAAGTGGGTGCGGCAGGGTGATCCTGAGAAGGCGAAAATACTCTGAGGGAGACTTTGTAAAAGGTAGCAGCCCTCTTTCAAACCACCCCACCCCCTCGTCAGATTCTGATTTTGTGGCAACACTTCTGCTGTGTTGCCGAAGGTTTAGCGATACGGGCAATGGCTTCGCTTTTTGGGAGCTATGATGCTGTGAACAGCATGAACACTCCTCAACCAGCACTGGCTGAATTATAGTGATTTCCATGACTTGGGGGTCCCAATATAAGCTCCAACCGAGCATAATCCTTACTATAGGGACCCCAAAGAAGGGCCGCTAATCTTGGGACAACGAAGGGCTTGGATGCAGTGTTCTCAGTGGTTATTCAAATATCTATGCGACCTGGGTACGACTCTGCCCTGGAGATGTAAGGGTCTTCATGAGCACTTCTGCCTGCTCTTGGTCGCCATGTGAGCTGCAGCCTGAAAATCCTACGTGATTTCAGGTACATGGCTTCCTTTCTCAGGGACTGTATTGGGACTATACTGAAGTACGAAGGGACCCCCATGTCCACCATTCAGGCTTCCCTAACATGCCTAGTATTGACAATAGCTCATATACCTGTGTGTATATATATATATACATATATATTCCTTTAAATTACATGCACCCAGTTTCCATGTCATGTTCGATTTTCTGTTCCATTTGATGGTCCATTATGGCGGTAATGTTGACAATAGCTCATGTGGGTTCCCTTTTTCCATGATGGGGTTGAAATACTCACCATGGTGCTCATCCCAACAAATCGCAAGGAGATCCATAAATCAGACTCCCACAGGGCTTGCAGTCTATAGGTTTTGCGTACCTGCTGCCTATGCACTCAACTCTAGATGATCCAAAAAATGTATCATCTCTAAGCGTCTCGCACATAGCCCATACAAGCATGCGCCCTGCACCCCTTGCTTAGCAACTTCGATGTAATCCTGACTGAGTAATTGGATACTTGAAACATGAACAGCTTTAGCAGGTGCCAGGACGTTAGGACAGAGTGTATTTAAATCACCAGTCATCATTTGCAGCCCAGCAAGTGGTCTCATCCGAGGGCAAACGGCTCGGGAACCAGTCTGGTGTCCTCGCTTGGGGCTCTCTCAAAATATCCTTCAACCCTACACAAAAACCCCTTAAATTATGAAAGTTTGGGGCAGCAGAGGGCTTGCAGGCTTGCAGGGGATCTCTTCAGAAGAATTCTAAGCATGGGTTCTCGCTTTAGTCCATTGAATTCGCGGCCGCATTCTTGGCATCCAGTCTTGGGGGTGCCTTGCTTTCCGACAGGAGGCTTTAAGGTTTTAGGGCGTTGTAATGCCGACACACTGTGGAACTTGGGCATCAGGCGCCCCAGCATACCTTTTCTCCCCAAACCCTTTTATAGTAGTTTCCGTTTTCTTTAACATTATCCCTACATGACCCCTATACTCTTCCTATCACACCTCTACATATATATTTTTATTTATTTATTCATCTCTTTATACGTTATACTATATCATATTATAAATAATAAACTATATGCTATATGTATTACAGAATATAACATATAATATATTATAACTATTGTATGATATATAATATATTATATACTGTATGTATTATATAAGAAATACATATATTATGATACATGATGTCAACATATACTATATGTATTATATAATACAAAACATAAGATAATATATATATATATATTATAATATATCATATAATGTTATACATATATATATTTACCCTACTATACTAAATCCTAAATGACAGCCTAGCGTCTCCCGAGGGTCGCGGCCATCGGTGGGCCATCCAATGCAAATGCCACAAACCTTACGGTTCAGGGTTTAGGGGTTTGGGGGGGGTTAGGGTTCAGGGTTTAAGGTGGATGGAGGAAATCTTGCACCACTCAGGGCCCCCATGATACTGGAAGTCCCACGGTGGAACTATGGGTCTGGGCCTCAGGCTTTAGGGTGGTAAAACCCAGGCCCTGTGTCATGAAGAAACGTTAGTGCTATTTGAAATCATTCAAAAGAACTGTAGCTGTAGCAAATCACCTGATTCTTCCCCAACTGGAACGTCAAGTGCTAGACCTAAGCACGTAAACGCGACAAGATGGGTCACATTGCTGTATATCAACAAGGGAACCCTTCACATGCACTTAGAAGAACATGTTGTCGCTGCCCACCCGAAGCGAAGCATTGTAGAAAGAAATCTCACTTCACACACCCGAGTAGGCTTGATCCCAAAACAGACACCAAAATCTTAAGCCTTAAAGCCTGAGACCTAAACCCTGTATAACACACAAACCTGAACTTTCAGAGCCTGCGCGATACGCAGTGGGATGTACGTGATGGACATGGAATTCTACTGGGAACATCTTGGAAAGTAAGCTTTACGGTATATTTTGCAGGGTTCCATGTTACTTTGTGTGCTATCCCTACGAAGCCCTTCTCGGGGTTGGGGGAATGTACCCAATTGAAGCCAGAAGGCCAAGTGCTCATCTTCCGGCATCGACTCAGCACCCAACACTTCCCTGCGTGGGTGGAAAGAATTCAAAGAATACACGTTGTGGGTTGGAGCCCTAAACCCTAAACCCCCAAACCCTAAACCCTATACCCTTGAACCCTAAACCCTGTTTTATTATGGTTTAGGGTTTAGGATCAGGAGTTCAAAGAATACAAGCTGGGGATTGGACTTGTATTATGGTTGAAGGTTCAGGGTTGAAGGTCAGGGGTTTGGGGCTAAAACCTCCACCCTGAACCCTAAACCCTCGGGTTTGGCATTTAGGGCTTTGGTATGCCCCAACCTTCGGCGGCGGCATCGGAGCATCCACGCTAGAGTATTCCGAGGCCCCTTTTAGGGCTTAGGGTTTAGGGCTTAGGGTTTAGGGTTTAGGGTTTAGGGTTTAGGGTCTGGTTCATCAAGCCAGCTATCCCTCAGGTGGAATGGATCACTAAACCCTAGACCCTGAAAACCCTGAACCCTAAACAGCATTATCCCAGTCCCAGCTACGCATACGAAGGCTCCACCTGCAACAGCCCAGCCTGGAAGTGAAATCCCCGTATCCTGCGCGCTCCAGAACGAAAATAATACAGAAGTATAACCAAGCACTGGCTTGGGCCCGAAAACTCCTAATAACAAGTCCCCTTGAACCCTGATAAGAAAATCCTGTCGCATGCTACTAGACTGATACCGTCACAACCCTGAAAACTAACGGCTCTGCACCAGACAAAGCCTACACTCTGGACAACCAGGGTTTAGGGCTTAGGGCGCATGCATCAGGAGGCCTGTATTTTTGAGACATCCTTTAAACAGACCATCCGAAGCCACGACCGGAATCCTTGAATCCAATCCTCTCATCCTAAACTGAGACCACCAAACCCTACATACGCAGCCCTAAGCCCTAACCTTCAAGCTTAAATCCCAGACCCTAAACCCTAAACCCTAAACCTTAAATCCGAAACCCCAAACCCTAAATCCCAAACCCTAAACCCTAAACCCTAAACCCTGAAGCCGAAACACAAATCCGACCGCGACCTGCCTGCAAAGATCCGTAAACTTCGCCACAGAGCCCAGAGGCTTCCTTAAATGACGTATAGCCCCCGTTAAGTAGATGGTTTAGCGTTTAGGGTTTAGGGTATGGGTTGAAGGTGTAACGGTTTCAAGGGGTCTTAGGGCTTTGGGGTTAGGATTTCAGGGTTTTTAGCGGTTTGGACTGAGGTTCTGGATTTCGCTTTGGAGCCACTTGGCGACGTCTAGAGAATTTGAGAGAAGTCCCCAACATCATCAGCTCCTGGGGTTAGAGTTACAAACCCTAAACCCTAAACCCCTTACCGTTTTTTGGAGGGAATCCTGCACCACCAACTTTTGGGGCTGAGAGTTTAGTTTACTTGGAGGGTCAGGGGGACTAAGTAGGTTAATAACCCCTATAACCCACACTGACTGGATGCAAGAAGCCAAAGAATTAAAATCCTAGACCCTAAACCTTGAGGCTAGGATTTGGGATCTTCAGTTATCAAGGCCGTGTCCCAGGATTCAGGGTTCACGAGTCTTTTTTAGAGGCCAAGAAGGGCCAAGGGTTTAGGGCTTTGGGATCAGAGTTTGGGCTTTAGATCTTTACATGGGGCTTATAGTATCTTGGGATCTTTTTTGGGGGTTCCCCTAGTTTTGGGAAACTTCCCTGTATAGGAATGTCGGGCTTAGGGTTTTGCGTATACCCTCCCCAGGCAAAACATTGAGCCCATGCAGGGTGCCTGAAAAGGGGCTATAGTCTTCACAAGGTTCCCCTTGGGTTCGATGTTATGTTGGGGGAGCGTCGGGTTTAGGATGCGCAAAACTTGATTCGGAGTCTCGACAGAAACTCAAATTGGAGAGATCCGTTGAACAGCGCTTGTGAAAGCATGTGTGCATGGAGTTTTTTGGTGGGTGACGAATCTTTGCAAGGTTTCAGGAGCTCGGGGTTTTTGGAGTGGTAAAACCACGTAGCGCGCAGTTCCTGACAAGCTATAGTCCCCCTTAAGTAGATAGAATATGGAGTATATGGGGATCTTATTCTAGCATTCCCAAAGCCATGTTCTTTACCTAAAGGGGGCTATAGGCAAAGACCTTGCCGATGGCATCACTTCATCGGAGCTTTGAGTTGAGGGATTTGAGGGGTTTTGGGGTTTTAAGTGTTTGGAGGCTAAGGGTTCAGGAATCTCGGACCAAGAAACTCAACTCCAATCTTATGCGCTTATCAGCGTTGTGAATACAATGATTTTCCTGTCGTTGGTATTGTCTCATGACTAGTCTGCTGATTGTTTCGCTACTGCCACGCAGAATAGTAATGAAAATACTGCGGCTGCTGCAGCTTCTTGTTGCCACTAGAAGGCGCAGTGGGAAAAAAAAACAAGAATATGTGAAATAGAACAGCAATTGATGTACTACCGCTGCTGCCAGAACCCCAGTGTCCCCGCCTCTTCCTCCTCTATCCTCCTCTTCTTCTACTACTACTGCTGCTACTGCTACAAGTACTACTATCACCATCTATTACCTCCTACAATTCTATACCCTAAACCCCAAACCCCAAATCCCTGAAACCCTAAACCCGAAGCCCTAAACCCTGAAACCCTAAACCCTACTATATATACCCAAATAACCCCTAAACCCCACATTTTTAGTTTCCGTTATCCCCATATAGCCCCTATAAAACCCTATATAAGCCCTATATAACCTATTCTTTTTAGTAGTTTTCATGCCCTTTTCCATTATCCCAATAGAACCCCAATAGTATACCTCTATATAACCCCTATAATATAGTAGCTTCCATTTTGTTCTCCATCTAAACCCTAAATCTTAAACCCTAAACCCTAAACCTAAAGCCCTAAACCCCTAGACCCTCCTGCTCTTTTCCAACTGCCTGCCCGAGCTTCCCTCCGAGTCCATAGGCCTGCATCCCCACGAGGACGGCATACCTCGGTGGCCGAGCATAGCCCTAGGAACCCTAGATATCCATAGGGTTTAGGGTTTGGAGTTTGGGGTTTAGGGTGTTGAGTTTTGGGTTTGGGGTTTGGGGTTTTGGGTTTGGGGTTTGGGGTTTAGGGTTTTGGGCTTTGGGTTTGGGGTTTAGGATTCAGGAGATTTAGATAACCCAATGTAGGTGACTAATACCCTGAGAACGGAGAAAGAAATAGAAAAGTAAATGGAAAATCAATTGGAAACTGGAGGGTTTAAAGGGATGTATAGGGATACACGGGATCTAAGGAGATAAGGCGAAGTCCTGCGTTGAGATCAGTTAAAGACTCTTGCAAAAACTCCATGTAAGGGTGCAAGAGCTATATTCGGAATTGGACCCAGCACCCTACACAGCTAGGGGCCTAAACAATTACTAATATAATGTTGAGGTCTGTTGGAGGTACGTCATATTGTAAGTTTACAAGGAATCTAGGACCCTAATACTGGCAAGTGTTTTGACCTCTGCGGAAGCCGTTTATGTTCGGAGGCGCCAAAAGACCAATGGAGACAAAACTTATGGAAAATTTACCTTTGACCGAACAGCCTGGTGTACTTCACTGCAACACAATTAGAAACTTTACTCCTGCACCCACTGCATCACCACCTAGCTTTGCCTCAGTTGACCCTAGATAAGCTGTAAGTAAAGGAGAACCTACCGCAGGCCAATATAGCGCCACAGGTAAGTGAACCCATGAAACGAAATCCGAGGAATTGCGACCCAAAATTCCTAAATCTTAAACCTTAAACCCTGAACCCTAAACCCCTACCCTGGATGCAAAGTAAGGGACTCTACACAAGAAAACGCTTCGCAGGCGGGAGCCAGAAGAGCAGTACCCTCACTTTCGGCTTATACGGGAGTTTAGGGGCTAGAAAAAGCCTTTATGGGCCCCTACGAACCTTAGGGATCCATAGAGTTTAGGGTTTAGGCTTTCGGGCTTAGGGTTTAAGGTTTAGGCTTTAGGCTTTGGGGATTTAGAGTTTGGGGTTTGGGGGTTTATGGTTTAGGGGTTTGGGGTTTAGGGTTCAAATCCTTTGACCGGGAAATTCCTGAAGGCAAAACCACAACCATCCAAGTTGTCCAAAGACCAACAGACAGACCTGTCCCTCAGTCCACTTCTGGCTTAAGCTTTTAGGCTTTAGGGTTCAGGGTTTAGGGCTTAGATGCAACAATCATACAGTCACCATCCCAGCCTGTTTGCCCCAGATCCCTGGAGCCTACTTTCGAAACTCCAAGCCACATGAAGGACCCGACATCCACAAAGGTTCCTCTTCAAGGGGTCATATAGGGTTTATATAGGGATAGTGGAAAAGAAGCTGGAAGCTACTATTTAGGGTTTAGGGTTTAGAGTGTAGACCCATGATTCATAAACCCCCTCCTTTTAAGGGCCTTAATTTCTAGGATCCCCACTATAATTCCTATTAAGGGAAGGGGGTTTATTAATCAGGGATCTGGGTTAGGGCTTTGTCAGGTATATTCAAAGTGCATCCTCCATTTGGGAACAAAGCGAAGGCCCTACTAGCCTGCAATGAGGAACTCTATGTGGTAGTTGTTCAACATACCTGTCCCCAAAATGGCCATACTGTTGACCATAAAAATCCTGCATGACCTTATTATACTATCGTACCATTATTCCCGAGGTTTAGGGTACTTAGGGTCATGCAGGATTTCTATTATCCACCGTAGTGTAGATTCCAACCCTAAACCCTAAATCCTAAACTGGATAGGAGCCCCTTTTAAGGAAGGTGTCTTCCCAATGGTCTCTCCTTTGCAGGGGCCTTTAGAACAACCCCCCAATGTCTTTTTGGCTTAAAGTTGCTTTAGGTTCAGGGTTTAGGGTTTAGGGACTAAGGTTTAGGGTTTAGGGCTTAGGGTTTAGGGTTTAGGGGTTAGGGTTTAGGGTCTAGGGCTAAGGCCACCTAACTGTTAACAACAGCTCATGTACTGTGGCGGTTCAGCCCTTATCTGCCACCAATGCTCGGCTCTCCTCAGTTGATGTTACACACCCCCCACCCCCTAAAGGTGGCCTCGAGTACATTTGTTGGTCGTTAAACCTAGCAAGATTATATCCCTTCTATAAAGTACTATACCCCAAAAGGAAGATATTATCTTACTCTAGACTGGGTACCATTGTATCCCCAAATAATAATAACATACTACCTCTTGCCTTCCGTAGGAAGTGCCATACCAAACCACTTCTGGTGGCAAGTGGCAGCTAAATGGGAAAGGAGAGCACCTAGACCCTAAACCCTAGAACAGACGCTATTAGGTAGTTTCTCAAAATATCGGGACCCCAATATAGACCCAAAATACTATAGTCCTTGTTATGGGGATCCCCAAAAGGGTACCCCTAATTTTGGGAAATCCCCATTACTACAAAATCACTGGCGGTTGGCATAGGCCCTTAGCCTTGCAAATCCTCAGCTGTCCTTTTAAGTTGTGAGCTTAAGCCACACTGTTAGGTTGGAGATCAGGGTTTAGGATTTAGTAGAACTTAACTTCGTACTGCAAAAACGAGCTGAATCCTATCCCCCCAACACCCGGATGACCAGATGATCTGAAGCCATATAAGCACTCGCTCCAGGAAAAAAACGTGAGGCACTGTGTGATTCAAAATGAGCCCTCATGTAATGCCCTTTGCCCTTTAAACCCTAAACCCCAAACCCTAACCCTAAACCAAAAAAAACAAGCCCCAAATTCCTGAACACTAAACGCACACCCCACGTCCTGCTGCTGCAGCCTTCGGTGCCTTGAGGAGCAACCTCAGAGGTTCGCAAAACGGGAGGCTCTTGAAGACCCCAAAGTTTTTTTTGTAGGGTTTAGGGTTTAAGGTTTAGGGTTTAGGGTTTAGCGTAGGGATATATAAGGTCCTTTGAAGGCTCTCTAGGGGAGTATACAAGGACATATGAGCCATAGTTTAAACTCCGACTATCTCCGTTAATAACCCCTGGAATACTCCCCTATATATGGGGTCATTCCCCCTTACAGTAACTGTTACCACAATGGGTTATAGGAGTTATAAAAAACGCCTTAATAAGGCCCCTTTAAGGACAGTTACTGGGAGGGGGAATGACCCAACCTATATAATTCTCCATCAAAGTCCCCTCACGGAATTTAGCTATAGCTCATATGATGTGTTTTAAAGGGGTCATGCTGGGATTATGAGGTAGCTCTAGCTCTGAGGCATTACTGGCTTTAAGAGGGATATAGCTTAGGGTTTATGGATTACGCTTCAGGGTTTAGGGTGTAGGGTCCAGGGCTTAGGGTTTAGGACCCACCTCAAAGATTAAAAAAAAAACACCGTCAGGCCAAGAAGCAGCACGGGGGCACCCCAGAATTCGTAGTTGGGGCGGTACTTCTTGCGGCGACCATCCTTGTCAGCGTTCTTATAGGGGATTTATAGGGTATACATGTATATATACGGGGTTTGGGTAAGGTTTGGGGTTTAAGTTTTAGGGCCTTAAATTCTATAGGGTTTAGGGTTCAGGGTTTGGGGTTTAAGGTTTGGGGCTTAAGGTTTGGGGTTTAAGGCGGAGCGCTTGGGGTTCAGGTCTTTGAGTTTAGGGCTGAGGGCTCCTCGTTTTAAGGAGTTCGGGGTCGAAAAAGAATGCATCGATTTTGCTTTGGCTTCAGCAAGGGCTGCATAAGAACCATGTAGGAACCGTGTTGAACTCAAGATTGCTATGGATTTCCAGAAGCACTACGCATGGATGTATGGGGATTTACGGCTGTGCTGGGCGGTTCGCTAGAATAGGCATGATCGTAAACATGAACTGCTAAACTTCCGAGAACAAAACAGGGCATTGGTTGCCCCAACCTTAAATTGAAATTAGGGATCCCGTCACTGTCAGGTGATTCTTACGAAGTCCATATTGCAGGATGCTATGTTATCCTAATCCTTACAACCCGAGTTACAATGTCATTGTCCCTTTCTTTTCCATGTGATTCTCCATTCCTTGGGGGCTGGAACCAACAGAACCTTCAACCCTGCCTTACGTCCAGGTATCCCTGTATAGCAAATCCTACACCCTAGACCATGCACCCTAAACCTGAAACCCTACACCCTAAACCCTAAACCCTAACCCTAATCCCTAAACCCGACACCCTAAACCCTGGATCCTAAACCCTAAACCCTAAACCCTAAACCCTCTGTGGACAGCATCCCTCAGTTCTACCCTGCCCCAAACTGACATTGAGCCATAGTCTAACCCCTATAATATGGGGTTCAGGGTTTAGGGTCTACACTCCTAGCATCCCCTAAAAACTATAGGATTTGGGATTTAGGGTGTAGGGTTGAGGGTTTAGGGTCTAAACTCTTATCCCCCTTACCGTAAATAGCCCCTGTGATGGTCCCCTATAAATCCCCTATATAACCCCCTTTAAGGAGTTTAGACTGCGTCTCACATGGATTCTGAAAGGGGCAACTTTGTCAACTGCAGCCTGGGTTGCTGTTGAGGAGTGTATAGATTAAGTTACCCAAGCAAGGAAGCCCCGTTATCGACGATATATCCATACGATGGATACTAATAATCCTGCATGACCCTAACTACTTGATAGCTTGGAAACTGTGGTATCATAGTATATTAAGGTCATGCAGCGTACTTACCTAGCTTGGATTCCTTGACAGCAGCTTGCAGCTTTTGAAAGGCGCTTGCGTGGGTTCCGTCACTCTACCCAAACCCTAAGATTGACCGTAACGAGCATGAGGAATCGGAGAATGTCTGGAGTCCCTCCGCAAGCAGGAAGAAGATAAATCCTGCTTGGACAGAACATCAACCAAAAACTGAGCTTCCAGACCCTTGGCCTGATACGAGCCCCGACTAACCCATCCGAACAACCCCTTCAAGGCCCAAGGAAGTCCTAAACAACTCTTGTTGGGTGCTGGGTGATGCTGGGTGTGTTCGGTGGGACCCCTCAAAACCTTACACCTCAAACTCGAATCCCTCATGTTGGATCCTACACCCCCCAAGCCAACCCCAAAACTGAATTCCTAAGCTCCATAACCCCAAGAGCAGATCTCTGAATCACCCTACATCATGTGTAGGCCCTACACGTCAAACCCAGGCAAGGTCCTTGTCATCGCGATCCAGCTTGTGGCGCTCCTCATAGAGCTCAAAGCCATACTGGTCCTGCCCAGGGTTTAGGGTCTCGATGGGGTGAGGGTTTCAGGCGTGCCCCCACCCACTCACAGTGAGCACAAGGAAGTACGAAGTATCCCTATAACTGGCCCCAAACTCTTACTAAACCGTAAACCCTAAACCCTTAACCCCGAACCTTTCGACCATCATTAGCGGGTTGGGGGACCACCTAAGCCTTAGGCTTAGAGATTGTGAGGAATATGGGCCGGGATATATATGGTGACCCCAATTTTGAACACCTGGTAGACATTCTGGCCTACTCCAGACCTAAGACCTCAACACCTTACTCTCTTCCCCAATAACCAGGGCTAAAAAGCTTAAACTTTGTTATAGAGACCCCAAAAGGAAGCCCAAAAGGGTTGAAGTATGTCATGGGACCAAATTCAGGGCCAGCAATTTAAGAGCTTTACTTTCAAGATGGTGGGGGTTGAGTCTTCATCCTTGCAACTTCTGTAAGCAATATAGTGACCCCAGCTACCCCAACCCCTGATTGACAAACCTCCTCCCCTTAATAGGGATTATAAGAGGGATCCTAATATTTAGGCTCGGAAGAGGATGAGGCTTATTAATCATGGGTTTACATTACCCCCATTGCTAACCTACTTACTAAGTTCCCCAACCTGAAACAAAGTTTAGGCTCTTTCGGCGGCCGAAACCTTGGACCTTGGACCTTCCGAGACTTCCTCTGCTGAGAGGATGTGAAAGGACCATAAGTTTAAGAAGTTCCCATAAGAATCCATGAGGTTTTCCCCAAAATATGGGTTGAGGGACCCCAAAAGTTATACAGGGATGAGAAGAGCCAAACTAAGAGCTCTGTAGGGGGAAAGTTGGGAAACTAACCCATGACAACCTGTGCTCACCTGGTCTAACCCATGGTCATGTCAGCCAGAGGTTCACGACTTAAAGTTTTGGTTTAGGGCTAAGGGTTTCTGGTTGGGGCATAGAACCGGGCGTACAAGGTTTTGTCAAAGCCAGCATACCCGAAGAAACCATGGGGCACAGAGCCATGGGGATCTCCCGATCCCATAAATGATTCTGCAAAAAGAACTCCCTATATGCTGCGAAGTTCAAGTGTCAGCAAGAGATTGGGCACATCAGTTCGAACGGGGCCTGAGAGACCAAGAGGATCAATGTGGAGTCGAATGCAGAGTCAAAACTCTACAGCCCGAGTCCTTGCCCTTTTGCATGCGCGCAGTGTTCTGGGTGCTGTACTTCTTGTAGGTCTGTCCTGCAATACGACAATGCTTGAGCGGTGCTTCAAAGCCCTTATCCCTAGACTCTAAGCCCTAAACCCTAAATCCTAAACCCAAACCCTATCGCGTAATGCTATTGATACAACCTCCACCAATCTCCCAGCCTAGAATTCCTACTGCCTGCAGGGGCCTTGATAGGGGATGTATAGGGGACATAGGGCATGTATAGGGTGTCAGGTTTAGGGTTTGGGGCCTGCGCAGCCAAAAAAAAGTCGGTAATTCAACGGTGCAGCCAAAACAAGCAACACTGCAACAATCTGAGGCTACCCCCTGCGGTGCCTTTTTGTTTCGTGTTTTGGTTGTTGATATTGTTGGTTTGGCTTTCTCAATAATATTTGCTTTCAGCTTTGCAATATCTGCAGACATTCCACGGTCTTATGACTAAACGGCTTAGGGCTGGCGGTTCAGTGTGCAGCGTCCTGGTCGTAAGGTTTTTTAGATCACGTTCTACGTTTTATGTATATGACCATAAAGCAAAGGTGGCAGGTAGACGTTCAAACCTCCGAAGCCCGGCCAGACTATTCCCAAACCCTAAACCCCAACCCTAAACCCTATATTCGATCTACTTAAGGGGGACTATATACTATAAACCCTAAACCTTAAGCCCTAAACCCTAAACCTAAACCCTATGTTCTATCCACTTAAGGGGGACTATAACCCCCTAGCCTCCCTAGCGCTTCAGTGACATTGTTGCAGATCGTATCACTGCAGAGAAGGATTCTTGGCACCCCAAGCTCTCTGTTGAATCTGCCCATCAAACAGCCCAAACAACACAGAGAAGGGCGGTTTTAGGGTTAAGGGTTTAGGGTTTAGGGTAGAGCTCTGAACCGTGCGTGGCTGGGGGTTGGGAATTGAAATTCCTCCAATCTCAACCTAAAGTCCAAAAGTTACCTACACTCCAACCCTAAACCCTACACCCAAAACCCTAAACCCCCAAACCGTAAACCCTATCCACCAACTCCGGAGACCCTACCACTTCCTCAACCTCTGCTGCAGCGTGTACTTGGAGGGTCCGGGGCAGTTAGTAAGTAGATTAACAACCCTATGACCCATATAGTAACCCTAGTTATCCTCACTATTAACCTATTTACTAAGTCCCAGTGACCCTCCAAAAAGTACACAATGCCTGAAGTCCTCGAAATCCTGGATCCCTGAAACCCTCAACCCCTCCGACTAAACACACCCTGACACAAGAATCTGGGCTGCTGTCATGGAACGACTGAAATCATTCTAGTAGTGGGATTTCCACACTATAGTAGCTTAATTCACGTTCTGAAACAGCAACCCAGCAATGCTCATCCCCAATGGCAAATCTCTAGTCTGTCAACCTGGCATTCGTGGCATGCCATGGCATCCCCTGAACAAGCTCATAATGCTGTAAGCCTCTGTGAGTAAACACCTGAAATAACTTCAGGGTCCCTCAGATGAAAAAGCCTATACAGGGTTTGTGGTTTAGGCTGTAGAGTTACACTAAGTCTCAAAGGTCCTCGAGTTCTACACCCTAACCACTACCGTCCCCTAGACTAACATGGAATCCCAAAAAAAAGTCCTATACTAGCCACTTTCCTTTTACAAGGGGGCATGGAGTTCCATGCACGGAAAGTTTCCTTTGCCCAAGCATACCGACATCCCAAATTCCTAGACACTAAACACTAAGCCGAGTGACCTAAGCCCTGAACCCCTAACCCTAAACCCTCACCCTGAACACGAGCCCTTCCACTCTGGGATGCCTCCGTCATTGCCATTGTCAAAGTAGTCGAGCATAGCCTTTGACAACTTGTCGCGCGCGGCACCTGACGCAGTGATTTCTAGAACTTCCAATGTCTACTAAGTCACCCTAAAGTCCCAAAACTGGGTTGCTGTTAAGGAACTTAACTTAAATTACTATATTGGGGAAGCCCTATTATTTACTATATATACCCATTATGGTAACTTAATTTAAGTTCCTTAACGGCAACCCAGAAAAGTATGCGAACATGCAAAAAAGAGCTTGAGATACATTCCTTCATCAAGGAGTCTGAGATGTTGTGGGTTCTTCCCAACTGCGTGGGTTGGTGTCAGGGTGAGTGACGCGTAGGTGGGGGCAGTTCAGGGGTTGCTGTTGGTTGGCAGCGAGGCCTTCATCAGGTAGATCCCCAGGGGCCCTCAAGTTTAGGGTTTAGGGTTTAGGGGGAAAGCATCTGAGACCCTCCTGGTTTTCTTATATTCGCCTTTTGAAGCAGAACTTCTCAAGGGGCTTGTCCTAATTGGTTTGGGGAAACCACCCTGATCTAGCATTGGGGAGTCCCCAAAGTTTTAGCGGTACCCTTTTGAAGATGCCTATGATAAGGATTAAGATATTTTGGGGTCTATATTCGGGAAACTATCGTTTAGGGTGAGCAGAATCTACCAGTTGTCATTCCGATGTGCGTACCCTATACCCTAATCCCTAAACAGGGGTGGCTCTTCCTGGCTTGAGGCCTCAGATTCTTGCCTTTATCACTCACATTGTCTGGTTTACGGCTTAGGTATTCTGATATGACATGACACAAAGTAACCTAAAACGTCATCATCGTCTCGCCCTTCGTCTATTGCTTGTTCCAAGCGCTTCATCCAGCTGCTCTCCTCGGCTATCGACGTGTGACATTGTAGCGAGTACGGTTTAGACAAACTTCAGCCTTGCTGTGACTTCTTTTGCAATTGCAACTGGCACTTCAATGATGTAGCTGTGATGAAAATCAGATTGGCAATTAAGGGGAACTGAGCCCCTCAGTCTGTTCAACACTCTGCTGGAAAGCCTATTTCTTGAGCGGAAGGGTGCATAAGGTTACTGGTCTCAAACTCAATCACTTTGGTTCAGAACCCGTGCAAACCGAAATCACCAAACACCTCAGTATCTGTTCTTCCCCGAACGGACAGGAAGCAAGTTCCATGCGGGCCGGGTGGGGGGGGGCATGTACCGCATCGGACCCAAGTGAAGAATTTCTCGTCAGCATTAAGCAAGGATAGTATATGAGGCGTGGGTACAAAGAAACTGAAAGCCATGTGTCAGGCGGTCGCGCATGCATAACGCCCCCAACTGTAAACCTGAAATCTAAGCCGATACCCAAACCCCAAACTCTAAATCCGGAATCTCAAAAACTTATTCCCTAAAACTTCACATGCAACTACTCCGCAAACCGAGTTCCGGAACCTTGAACCCTCAATCCTTATCCCTAAAACGCTCAACCCTGATTCCATGCACCTCTGACCCCACAACCCTAGACTCAAACCCCTTAGGGTTTAGGGTTTGGCCC